TCAGGGTTCAGGGAGTTTGCGCGCGAGATCGTCACCCACAGTGGGGGCAAGTGCACTAACGGACAAAAACGGCCACCTAGGGAGGGGATTTTGGACCAGATTCACTTTGGCAATATGGCGGTTACAAAGGTCCTTGATTTTCTTTGATTTATGCAGAGAAAATTAAAGAAAATCAAGGCCTCTTGCAACCGAAAAATAACGGATTGCATGGGACAGGCCAAACACATGTTTTAGGTGCAACGGGAGCCAAAATGGAGACCGGATGCACTTGGAAGTTGGCCGCTTGATTTTCTTTTGGTAGGGGGCTAGTTGAGGGACATTGGGGCAAGGAAAACTGCCCCTAGTGCAGTCCGAGTTGCAACGGACTGCATAAGGAGGGGCAAACATAAGGTTTTGGGGCTCCGTGAGCCAAAATTGAGCCCGGATGCCTTAGGAAAATTAACGCACTACTTCCCTTAGGCATGGGGCATAACGTAAGGCTGTGGGGCTAGCAATATGGCTGTGGATGCAGTCCGAGAAATAACGGACTGCCCAAGGATGCCCGGACCAAGGGGAAATGAGCCGCGGCATGCCCGAAACACTAGAAAACGGCGCCGCGGGCCTAGGGGAGTGTGACAGTAAAACGGCGACGGCACGGCGGGGTCCCGCGGCAGGGAAATTATCAACGACACTTGGGACACATGGAAAGAATAAAACGAGATTGACGGGGTCATGGGAAGTCCCAAATAAAAATTGGTTGTACCGCCCGCCATATCGTACTGGGCTGTGTGTCCGAAATTGGATTTAACGCGGTTTTCGCGTTGAAAAATTCAACGCGCATTGAATTCGCGTTAAACTCCCGTTCAAACGCGAGTTGGACGGGAATTAACGAGGTCCGGGATATTTTTTTTCTGGGCTAAAAATTATCCAAAAAATAAATATATATATATATATGAGGTTGTAGGTTTTGTTGAGGACTACAACCCTGTATTTTTATTTTTATTTTTTTATGCTTAAATTTATTTTTAAAAAATCAAAAACATAAACACACAATGAAAAAACAAAAACGAAAATGAAATGAGTGTTTTTGTTTTGGGTTTCACACAGATTTTTTAAAGGCTAAAACGAAAAAAATAAAATTAAAATAAAAATATAGGGTTGTAGATCTTACAAAGATGTACAACAATTTATTTTTCATTTTATTTTTTTGGAACTTCGTGTATTTTTAAAAAAATCAAAACCATAAAAAGCAAATTAAAAAAAGGAAAAAAAGACACACACACACACAAAATTGGGCCTGTAGCAGGTTGCATGAGTCTGRCGTCARTTGGTTGAGGGWACCCAGGYCCTRGGCSGCCTRTGTGAATGTATGGAARGCWGGCCCTGGGCTGGATACGGGTACTGGGCCRAACACAGGCCAAAGGCAGTTGGGGGCATGCAACCACCTCAGGCCCAAGGCCTGTTCTCGTTCGTGCTGTGCCTCAGGCTACCGGGGCCTACTGGAAGCTTCCT